GAAAAAAAAAAAAAAAAAAAAAAAAAAATCAAAAGAGGAATTCATCCAGCTGGGCCTGGTGACTCAGGCCTATAATCCTACCACTTTGGGAAACTGAGGCTGGAGGATAACACGTTTGAGCCCCAGTCTGGGCATCTTAGCAACTTAGTGAGACCCTTTACTCATGTCTCAGAATAAAAAATGAAAAAAGGGCTGGGGATGGAGCTCAGAGCACAGGCCCTGGGTTCAATTGCTAATACAAAGGGTGGGGGCGGGGGGAAGGAGACAGACAGAGAGTCATCCAAAGCAGTATTGACGAGGAACTTTAGAGATCTTTGAACCGCAGTTGGTGTCTTTTCAGAACCGTTCCCCTGGGTGATAGTGATGGCTCTGCTTCTTCACTGTTGCATCTTCTCCTTTTCTGGCTCACCAGAAAACAAAGGCCTGATTTTCATGATTCTGTGCTGAGGAAATGAAGCTGACTGCCGAACAGGCAGTTCCACATGAAGAATGGAAAGGGTGTAGTTTTTTCTCCCTCGCTGAAATAGTTGACAGCTGCGGCTCACTGCAAGAAAGCTTATCCACTGTCCTTCCCTCTTGCCTGGTTAAGATTCCCTGGTGTGAGATTATGCTATGGGACACGAATATTTTCTGCATCTAGATGGAGATTATTCTCTTCCAAACATTCGTACTTTATGTAATATACTTGCAGAGAGTAAAACTAAAGCTGTTATATTCTAAAAACAAGTAATTAAAGAATTGCTGGAGGTTTTGTTTTGGATTTAATTTTCTAAAGTTACCTTGCATTTATACTTTTCTCTTTTTTTAGTGCTAAAAACAGTTGAAAATCTTGGTGTGCGCTATGTGAAAGGAACTGAGCAATATCAGAGTAAACTGGAGTCTGAAATTCGAAAGCTCAAGTTTTCCTTCAGAGTAAGTAAAAGGAAAAATGCGTTCAGTTTGTATGTATTTGCATAGGAAAGTTGTGGGAAAGGTCTTGTATTAGGCGCACGGCTTTTATGAAGACTCAGGTAGCATAGACTGCATGAAGGTACCTACCATAACTAGAGTAATTGATATGGACGCAGAAGATTGGAATGTGGCAGAGTTGAAGGTTGATCTACGAAATGATTGAAGTGGTAAGTACCTGGGTGGAGGCTATACAAGGAAGGAAGTTAAGAAAGAGGGATCGATACGAGGAAAATAGGTCCAGGTAGAGGCTTTGATGAGATCATTTCAGTTCTTAGTTTCACCTGATTGAAGCTTTAGTAAAATGGCTATTGCCTTGGAACACATACTAAGAGATGTATTTTTGTACCTTTTTATTTATGCAGAATTTCTTCGTACCTGTTATTCTAGTGCATTTATTTTATTCATGTCATTATTTTTAAGGAAAACTTAGAAGATGAGTATGAACCACGAAGAAAGGATCATATTTCTCATTTTATTTTGCGCCTTGCTTATTGTCAGTCGTGAGTATGCATTTATACTCTCACAGTCAAATTTGATGTCTTGGACTGTAAATTGTTAGGTAAATGGGAAGTTGACACACTGAACATAGGAAAACTTGGGAACCAGTGTGTGATGGGGTTGGACATTGTTGTAGTGAAGTGTTTGAAACAAGTTTGTGTACTAAGAAATACGGAAAAATGAAATTTTGCCTAACAAGACACTTAACTATTGGAGCGACTTCATGTGGGATTTAAAATGAGAAGGGTATCCTTAGGAAAAAGTACTTTTATGTTTTTCCAAAAACAAAAGTAATATTTATGAGAATTAAACACATATTTGAATTTGATACAAATTTTTGGATTTTGAGATGAATGGGTCTGTTAGATTTAGTTTCTGGTGGTGCTTGGTTTCTCGTAAGTCAATAGTGCCACCCAGAGGAAAAAGGAGTTACTTGCTTTTTTTTTTAAAACTTGAGTTTTTTTTTCACCTTTATTTAATTTTGGCCAAATAATACAGAGCTGTTTCTTTTTATTAGTAGGTTTACAAAGTGAGAATCTTGAGTTCCTTACTATTCCAAAGTAAAAACTGAGAAATATTCATCAACTTTGGTCTTATATAAAGAAGCATATGTATTTGATGTAACGTATAGTAGATAAATTGCTGATAATCTCTGAAAGTCACCTAAAAA